AGCTGTTGTTCACCATCTTAGCTGTAGAGGGCAGTGTCACTGGCCCTCATGTGGGATCCAAACCCGGGCCCTGCTGCTCAGAGCTGGCATCCCAAGCTAGCTCTTAACCAACGTGCCACTCGGCCGGCCCCAAAATACTGCACATTTTTAATGTATAGATTTTGATGAATTTGGTGCCTCAGTTCTGAAGCCCCTGTAGCATAAAAGCAGTAATAAATGATATAGGTATAAATGAATGAATGAGAGTGGATGTGTGCCAAAAAAACTTCACATGTCAATACTACTGAAATGTCAATTTCAAATATTTTCATATGTCCCAAATAGAATCTTTCTTTGAATTTTTTTCAATTATTTAAAAATGTAAAAACCATGCCCTAGAGCCATAGTTGATCAATCTCAGTGCCATTCACACATCCCCACGATCAGTTCCCACCCCCCGTCTCACTTAATATCATTCTGGCAATCCACCTTTCAGAAGCTTATTTAGATATTTGGGTATCCTTTAAAAAAATGCCCTGCGTTTAATTTCCTAAAATGGTATTGTTCTTATTTTTCCCTCTGTACCCACTATTTTTTAACTTTCTACCCTGATGTTTATAAATCTGGTTTGACACTTTTAATGCCCTAGTATGTGCTACACTTTTCTTATCCAATCCCCCTCTGGTGTGCACCTGGGTTACTTCCAACTCCTGGCTGCCGTGAACAGTGCTGGGGCCGTCCTCACTTGGCCCCTCCTGTAGGGTCACTAAGCTTCAGGAGATGCAGTTTCAGAATTCTGTCTGATCCTCTCCAGAAAAGCTCTCCCTGTTCACACTCCCATCAGCCCTGCTTGGGTCTGAGGTGTCCATTTCCCCACATCCCCATCAATATACAGTTTTATCTATCTTTCTAATTTTTTGCCTATCTGATGCTGGTACAAAGTGGTATATCCTTGTTTTAATTTGCATTTAAAAAAAATTTCTGATGAGGTTGGGCATCACCATATATGTTTAATAAGATTCCTCTGTGGATTGCTTATTTGTACCCTTTGTCCATTTTTCTTTGGGCAATTTTGAGAAGTTCCTGGCGTAGCGTATCCCAGAATAGGAGTTGGTGAACTATGGCCTGCGGGCCAAATCCAGCCCACTGCCTGTTTTTTATATGGCTCACAAGCTAAGAATGGTTTTTATGTTTTTAAATGGTTGAACAATATGAAAAGAAGAGTAACATTTTGTGACATGAGCAAAATTATATGAAATTCAAATTTATAAGAAAACAGCCACACCCGTCATTTACATACTGTCTAGAGTTGCTTTTGTACTATTTTTGACTGAGACTTTATGGCCCACATAGAGGAAATATTTACTATCTGGCCCTTTGCAGAAAAATTTTGTTTACTCCTATTTTAGAACAATAATCACCCATTTTTAGCATTGTGAATATCTTCCCCCAGTCTGTATTCTTCTGTCAATTAACTTTGTCTATAAGTTTTTAGTTGTTTTTATCAAATAGAAATCTTCATGTTGGATATAGTTAAACCCATTGTATTTTTTCTTAAATTGTTTTCCATTTTTATTGAGATATAATTGACATATAACATCGTATTAGTTTAAAGTACAAATTCAAGATTTGATATATGTATATATTACAAAATGATTACCACAATAAGTCTAGTCAATGCCCTTCACCTTACAGAGTTACAATTTTTTTTCTCGTGATAAGAACGTGTAAGCTCTATTCAGCAACTTTCAAATAAACACTACAGTATTATGAACTATAGCTACAATGCTGTATATTACATACCCAGATCCTCAGGATTTATCTTATAACTGGAAGTTTGTACCTTTTGACCCTCTTCACCCATCCCTCCCCCTGCCCCTGGCAACCACCAATCTGGTCTCAGTATCAATAAGTTCAATTTTATTAGATCCCACATATATGTGAAATCCATATGTCTTTCATACATGGTTTGTGCTTTGAGGAATTCTTAAAGGAATCTTTCCCCTTCCTGAGGCCCCTGATACTCTGCTGCATTTCCTTTCTGTGGCTTTGTAGTTGTACCTTCATATTATTCCTTCAGAATTGATTTTCTGTGTAAGGCATGAGGTAGGGATCCAGCTTGATTTTTCTTGGCGAAAGGAAGTTGCTCTCCCCAACACCACGGAGCCCACCCTTGACCACTGGTTTGTGGAAACCCCTCTCTCTTAACCCCCAGTTCCTTTGGTGGGGGGGCTATGCTGGGCTCTGTCCTCCATTCCTTTGGCCCATATCTTCCCGCAACAAAGCCCCCCTGATTGGACTGTTGTGACTTTGGAATGTTTTACCCTCTCCTAAGCCATGTTTACCATTTCTGACCTTTTTTTGTAAAATTGTCTTAGCTGGTTATGAACTTTAGTTTTTCCATATAAATTTTGTTATCAGTTTGCCCCATTCCCCAGTGGAATAACAGTAATAAATATCAGTTTTATTGTTCTTGTTATTTTAGCACTGCAGTGTCTGACCTTGAACTCCTCATGCTGAAAGGAGCCACCCTAGCTTTTGGAGGCATGGCCCGCTTTTCTCTGGGGGTGGAATGGGCCACGGTGCTACTCCCATTTTTGTTTTTTTTTTCATTAAAAAAAAATATATTGGTAAAATACATATAACATAAAATTTACCATCGCAGCCATTTTTAAGTGTCCAGATCAGTGTCATTCAGCACATTTACACTGCTGTGCAACCATCACCACCATCTATCCTCAGAACTTTCTCATCTTCCTGATGTAAAACTTTGTCCCCATTAAATAGTCACTCCCATCTCCCTCCCCCAGCCCCTGGCACTCACCCTTCCACTTCCTCTCTCTATGGATTTGACTCCTCTAAGGACCTCCTGTAAGTAGCTTTTTGTCCTCTTGTACCTGGCTTATTTCACTCAGCATAATGTTGCTTTACCTGATTTTTTGATCCTCCCAGGCATTTAAATCAGGAGCCCTGAGTTTGGGGCAGACACTGAGATTGCGAACTGGCCATCTGCCTTCTGACACATTCCACTTGGCCTCATAGTGCTTTTGTTTGTTTGATGTGAATTTAGTGACAAGGTGTTTTTTTTTTTTAATCAGGAGCTCCATGAACCCCCACTGGAGTTCAAGTTCTGACTCAGGGATCAGCCTGGCCCAGCCACACCCTGGGTTGGGGTGCTGTTGGATATTTACATTCATGGCCAAGTGCCTCATCTATTCTGTGTGCTTGTCCCAAGTATTTACTCAAGTTGAGTGTCACCCACAGAATGGAAGAAGTAGATAGAGTGTATGTTAAAAAAAGTCTTACCTGTTAAAAGGAATTAAAATGAATTGGTTTGCAGAGCCCTTGGCCAGTGGCAGGAAGGGGACACCCTGGGGAAGTGGTGACACAAAAGCTACACGTGGCCTGGGGGGACCTGAGCTGTTAGGAGACTTGGACTTTTGTTTCTTGCTCCAGGCTGGTGATCTAGGACTGGAACTTCCTGCCAGCCCATTCCCAGAGGAGCATGGGGCACCCTAGGGGGTCTGGTGCCCACAAAGTCACCATTGTCCTTAGACCTACCTAGATGGGTTTTCTAAAAAATTGTGGTAAAAAATGCGTAACACAGTTTCCCATTTAAATGATTTTTAAGTGTCCAATTCAGTGGCATTAAGTACATTCACATTGCTGTGCAACCATCATCACCATCCTCCTCCAAAATCTTTTCATCTTCCCAAACCGAAACTCTGCCTGGGTGGGGTTTTAATTTTCATTTTCCAATAGATTTACTGTTTCTTTCTCCTGATTATTAAAGTAACACCTGCTTAAAATTAGGTAAAGAAGGAAAAAAAGGAAGCCGGATATAAAACAATATCTACAGCATAACCTGCTTTCGTTTAAAAAAAATCATATTAAGTCTTACCAAATATAGTTAATTAACAACTCTCTTGAATTAACAGATGCCTCTCTAGCACTCTTGATGCGCAGGCATTGTTCTAAACTCTTCATCCCACCTTACTGTCTTTAGTCTGCACAAGATGCCACAAAGTAGGAATGTCATTCTCCTGGGGCACAGAGAGGTTAAGTGAATTGCCTGAGGTCACACAGCTTGCTCCCAGGAGATACGCTTGTCTATAGCAGCGGTTCTCAACCTTCCTAATGCTTCAACCCCTTAATACAGTTCCTCATGTTGTGGTGACCCCCAACCATAAAATTATTTTCGTTGCTACTCTATAACTGTAATTTTGCTACTGTTATGAATCGTAATGTAAATATCTTTTTGTTTTCCGATGGTCTTAGGCGACCCCTGTGAAAGGGTCGTTTGACCCCCAAAGGGGTCGTGACCCACAGGTTGAGAACCACTGATCTATAGTGACCACCACACTTGGCTGTGATCAAACCTTGTTTCCAGACAACACTCAGTATGTTGTCGGAGGAGGGTCATGAGCCAGGATTCTGGGGTCACAGGGTCCTCCCTTTCCCTGACCAGCTATGGGGCAAACAACAAATGGGGGGGAGGGAATGGAATTCCGCTGCTCGCTCACTGGATGACCTTGGGCAGCCCTCTGTACCTCAGTTTACTCAGCTGTAATAGTCCCACTTCTCATGGGCTGGGAAGATTTTATGAAGTAATAAAGAATTAGCCTTGGCCGTGGGATGCAGTTATTACTGTTGTTGCTTTGCTGTTGAGACCCACAGCCAGTGCCTCTTTCCTGCCCCTCCAGGTCTCCCACAGGTTCCTGCAGAGTCATCCTTAGCACCTCCAGGGTCCACAGCAGCCTCTTTGGCACAGCCTAAGAAGGACACAGGCCAGGTGCCCACCCTTGATGCCATCAACAGGGAGCCCACCAGGCAAGCAGCCTCACGTGAGTCAGAGGAGGCCAAAGGCGCAGGTAAGTGGGGGTGGCCGCTAAGAGGGACGAGGCACAGGAGGCCTGGGCATGGCATCTGACTTTGGAAGACCCTTGTGACACCACTCCTCCCCTAGGCGGGCTCCAGGCAAGCATACGGTCCATCATGAAGCGGAAAGAGGGGCCTGCAGACTCCGAGGCCCACCGGAGGAGCCTCCAGTTCGTGGGGGTCAATGGCGGGTGAGAGGAGCCCCTATCTGACTCTCTGCACTTTCCTCGGCTTCCATCCCCATTCCTTGGTTAATTCGTGCCCAAGAACGTACCAAGGACCAGGTCTAAGCCCCTCACTTTGAGCACAGTAAACAGATGAGGAAACTGAGGCACGATGAAGTCAAGGGCCTTGTTGGAGCTCCCACGGTAACCAGGAGACTGCCCTAGTGGTGTGGTTCCAGAGCCTGTGCTGTAACCACTGTACTGCACTGCCCCGTGGAAGGCGTTAGGTTCGGCTCCCTGGCCTGATGCAGCTCCCATGCCAGTGGGGCCTCACGCCCTGATGGGCGGTTCCAGCAGTGTGGTTAGCAATGGGGATGCTCGGCAGTGTGGGATCTTGGAGAGGCGTGGATGCCCCCAGGGAAGTCACTGAAGGAGGGGACACATGCCGCAGCACAGCAGGAGCTAGCAGTGAAGAGAAGGGACTGAGGGCTCTCCTGGTAGAGGGCACAGCCTGGATAAAGGCTCAGAAGTGAGAGGAAGCAGAGTGACCTGACAAGTAGGAGGCATGGGGAGCAATAGACAGGGACAGTTTGGGGCCTCAAATGCCAGGAAGCTTAGACTTTGTCCAGAGGAAGCAAGAAGCTTGAGGGTCCCATTTGCAGTGGGGTGAGGATCTGACAGTAACACCTGTGTAAGGACCAAAGCATGTGATAGGTACCAAATGGTCGAAGGGAAAAGCAGTGTCTCTCCCTTGCCCCCACAGCATGATCTCAATCACAGCTAATATTTATTGAGCACTGTGTGCCAGGTGCTATAAGCCACATTCCTGTAGCCCTGTGAGGTCCATACTACCATTATCCTCATTTAACAGATGGAGAAACAGGTCCAGTAGTCAGCCTCATGCCCCTCTCCCACCACGTCCTGTCCCATCTGCAGCATCTTCCCTACCCTGCCCATTCCTCCTCCCCAGATACGAGTCCTCATCTGAGGACTCCAGCACAGCGGAGAACTTCTCGGACAATGAGAGCACAGAGAACGAGGCCCCCGAACCTGGGGAGAGGGTACCGAGTGTGGCTGAAGCCCCCCAGCTCAGGCCCACAGGGACGGCAGTGGCCAGAACCAGCCGGGAGGAGTGCCAGCTATCTCGGGAGTCTCAGTATGTGCCCACAGCTGAGGAGGCATCACAATCAAGTGCGGAGAAGGAGATCCGGTCAGTTTTCTAGGTGGGAGGGATTCAGGTAGGGCCCAGGGGTGTGTGGGGGGCACCTCAGATCCCACCATTCAAGCCTTTTGAAGGAACATCCAATCAGTCATGCACACCTTAGTTTGAACTAGCAAACAAGTACTTTCTCCTTCTAGGCATCTTGAAAGTCTGGAGGCTTTGATGAAGGGCCTTAAGGGGGCAATTTGGGCTGTTGGGTTAGGATTTAGGGGGCAGGCAAAGTTTGTCCAGCTACCCGCCTTCCCTGGTACATTTTTGTCCCACTGGTCAATCCTGTTTATCTCTTTTTTTTCCCGATAAAAAATGTGCCCTTGGGAAAAGATTTTCCATTGCCACTGGCCACTTGGAGTAAACTGTAGCCTGTGTGTCCACTTTCTCTTAGGGTCTGTTTTTTTCTCATGTCTGCCCCTTGGGGTATAGTTTTATTATAAAATGTGTTTTTGGTGAAGGGGACATCTAAGGTTCCACCACTCAGGTAAGCCCTGGCAGGGTTGGGTGAGTGCCATGGTAGAGAGCGTTGAGGCCCTCTCTGAGCACCTCAGCCAGATGTGAGAAATAGGGGAAACCCAAGAGGCTGAGGTGGGTGCTCCCAAGATAAACCCTTTCACTTCTCCCTGGCAGGATGGAGCTAAGCCCCGACCTCATCTCAGCCTGCTTGGCCCTGGAAAAGTACCTGGACAACCCCATCGCCCTCACTGAGCGCGAGCTGGTACAGTGGGGCCCTATGCCTGGGGGGAGCTCCTGCCCCATCACCCATACCCTGGCTTCTCCTTGTTTGCAGTGTTCCCTGTGCCTGCCTCGGGGGGACCCCGGGAGCTTGGGATGTATGCATGCTTGAGTCATGGGAGGGACCAGGGAGGTGGGGTGGGGCCCAAGGATGATCTCCCGCCAGTAAACCTGGCCTTGGTTTCTAGTCCTTTGGGGGCTTCCGGGAAGAGGCTGTCATATTTCCCTCTACTGGTATCTACACTTGCCTTCAAAGGTCATATCCGGGATAGAGACATGCACATCTTCCTCTGGGGGGCAGATCTAGGATTGCAGTGTCTACACTTCCCTCTAGAGTCCTTGTCCAGGATGGGGATATGACACTTTACTCCAGGGGCCCACCCATCTGGGTTGGGTGCCCACACTCCCCCCTTCAAAGCCGTGGGGCATCCTCACCACCTGAAGCTTTGCCCTGAAGAGGGTGTGCTGCCACCCGCCCTCATGCCCCTCTCCCCTCGACACCTGCATCCAGAAAGTGGCCTATACCACGGTGCTGCAGGAGTGGCTGCGCCTGGCCTGTCGCAGTGACGCCCACCCTGAGCTTGTGCGGCGCCACCTGGTCACATTCCGGGCTATGTCAGCGCGGCTGCTGGACTATGTAGTCAACATCGCCGACAGCAATGGCAACACGGCGCTGCACTACTCTGTATCCCACGCCAACTTCCCTGTGGTGCGGCAGCTGCTGGACAGTGGTGAGCTCCACCAGGCAGGATGAGGGGGTCCTGGGGGAGCGGGCCAGCTGCCTCCCCTGGTTTAATGGTCTAATGGGGAAGACACTGCCCTCCTAGTCTGATGGGGAAAACTCCACCCTCACCGTCTGATAGGGGAGACGCTACCCTCGGTCAGATGGAGGAAATGCTGCCTTCCCAGTCTGATGGAGGGAGACACTGCCCTCCCATTCTGTTGAAGGAGACTCTCCTGCCAGCCTGGTGGGGTGACACAGGCTCTACCTGTAGCCCCAGTATTCTGGAAAGGGCAGCCATGGTCTTATGGAAAGCACGAGGCCTTTGCATCATCTGCAAAGACCCCTGTATAATGGAGGCCACACCTCTGGAACCCTAGTGTGAGGGACGTGGCCTCCAGTCTGGGGCTTGGAGACATGTGGTCCTCAATTCAGCAAGAAAATCCTGGCCCTTCCCTAGTCTGACTGGGAAAACACAGCCTCCCAACCTGATGGAGGCGGCGTAGGCCAGTCTCAAGGAGACTGGCTATTCCAGGTTAATGGAGACATAGCTCCTACTCTCAGCCCTAAATGTGGGTGTCAATGTCCGTGGGCCCCAGTCTGATGGAGGAGGCACAATCTCCACTTTTAGAAGCCACTCAGCTAACTAGGTGACATGATGGAGACAGAAACCCTGGGGCAAAATGGGGTTCTCAGTCTGAGGAAAGGGAGGAATTCGGCCTAGACTGATGGAGGAGACACAATGCCCAGTGCTCATTGTGGTAGAGTGAAACAAGGTTCCCAGTCTGATGACAGAGATGTGGGCTGTCCTCGGGGACCCTCCCCAACCTTTAGGCAGGCCTAACCAGCTTCAGCTGGTCGGAGGGCTCATATCTGTCCCCTCCCTCCCCCCAGGTGTCTGCCAGGTGGACAAGCAGAACCGTGCTGGCTACAGTCCCATCATGCTTACTGCCCTGGCCACCCTGAAGACCCAGGATGACATAGAGACTGTCCTGCAGCTCTTTCAGCTCGGAGACGTCAACGCCAAAGCCAGCCAGGTACGGGCCCTGGGCGATGCAGACCTGGGCAGCCCTTCCCAGGTACTAAGTCCTGGCTGTGTGCCAAGTGGAGACATGATCTCATTCCATGCCCAGGGGAGAGTCCCCACCCCACAGATGAGGAAACTGAGGCTCAGAGAAGCAGAGTCATTTCCTCAAGTTCAAACTAAAGGAGGGAGGATTTGAACCGGGGGGGTTGGGGAAGGCGGTCTAGCTCCAGAGCCCTTCTTATGACCTGCCTGCCAGGCTGCCTCAGGTGCAGGACCTTCTGGTGGAAACAGGGTGGGTTGGGGGTGGGGGAAGACATGGGGTTCCTCAAGCCTTTCTTTACCCGACATCGTCCCACATCCTGCTTGGTAATTCATTGGACAGCAACTGGATGCGGGGGACTCAAACGGTGGACAAGCAGGCATGGTCCTCACACTCTTAAAGCTCACTAGCCAGCCGGCAGTTCCTGGAGCCACAAGCTTTGCAGGCAGCACTGAGGCTTGGAGTGGGTTTGGACTCAGAGACTGCGGGGAATTCACTAGTTCAATCAGGGCAGTGGCGTGGCCTGCTTTCTGGTTTGAAATCTCCCTTTGGCTGCATGTTGGGGAACAGAAGCTGGGAGTCTGGTGTTGACAGGGGTGTGGACAGGTGTCCAGGCAGAAGAGCAGGGCAGGCAGGATTTAGTGGGGACAGTGAAAAAGGGAGGGACGTGCAGTGGCTTAAATGCAGTGAAGGAGAGAAGTTGTGATGGTGCATAACAGGAGTAGACCCTGGTTGCTGCTTTTATTGATTTCATTATTTTAATTAAAATTTTTTTAGTGGTTTACTTTGAGGTGAAATTCACATAGGATTAACCATTTTAAAGTGTACAGTTCAGAGGCATTTAGTACGTTCACAATGTTGTGTAATCATTACCTCTGTCTACTTCCAGAACATCCCGATCACCCCTAAAAGAGACCCTGCACCCATTAGGGGTCACTCCCCATCTCCCTCCCCCAGCCCCTGGCAGCCACCAGTCTGCTTTCTGTCTTTATGGATTTATCTATTGTGGGGATTTCATATAAATGGAGTCACGTAGTATGTGTTCTTTAGCGTCTGGCTTCTCTCACTGAGCACAGTGTTTTCAAGGTTCATCCATGCTGTAACATGCATTAGTACTTCATTTATTTTTGAGGCTGAATAATATTCTGTAGCATGGGTTTACCACAATTTGTTTATCTGTTCATCCACTGATGAACCTCAGTAATTTTTATCAAGGTTCAACTTACATACAGAAAAGTGTACAAATCTTAGCTCGATAAATTTTTACATATGTTTACACCTGTGAGTTAGGCACCTGCTTTAGGTGGGTGTGGCAGTGGCGAGGCAAGTGTCACCTCCCTGAAAAGGAGACATTTAAGCTGAGACCTGGGGGGTGAAAAAGGAATAGCAGGAAGAGGAGGGACCAGGAAGTGCCAAGGCCGGTCGGTGGGAAGTCGGGTTGTTTGAGATACAGAAGGAGGCCAGTGATTGGGGGTGCCATTAGCCTCAGATTACTTGGGAACCATTGGAGGTTCTGGAGCAGGGGTTACATGCCTTGGGACCTGCATGGTCCATAAGCTTGTTCTGTGCCCTGCCTAGGCAGGGCAGACAGCCCTGATGCTGGCAGTCAGCCACGGGCGGGTGGACGTGGTCAGAGCTCTGCTGGCCTGTGAGGCAGACGTCAACGTACAAGATGATGACGGCTCCACGGCCCTCATGTGCGCCTGTGAGCACGGCCACAAGGAGATCACGGGGCTGCTGCTGGCCGTGCCCAGCTGTGACATCTCACTCACTGACCGCGTGAGTCCCCACTCAGGTGCTCCTCGGGGAGGTTGGGAGCACAAGTGCTGAGTGTCACTGTAGCAACGGATGCTTTACAGGACGGGAGCACAGCTTTGATGGTGGCCTTGGATGCGGGGCAGAGTGAAATTGCGTCCATGCTGTACTCGCACATGAACATCAAGTGCTCGGTGAGTCTCCACCCTGGCAGAGCAGGGAGTGGGGGGTTCTGGGAGGGAACAGATGTTTATGAAGAGATGATGGTGTATGGGACCTGAGCCAGGGACTTAATAGTCATCTGCTTTTTTAATCTGCATGGTGCCCCATGAAGAAATGAGTCATGGGGAGCTGAGACTGTATGACATGGTTGGCATGACAGTATTTGAACCCAGATTTGTCTGGTTCCAGATGCATGCTCTTAATCATCATTTACTCATTTGAGAAATACTTACAGAGCACCCACTGTGTCAGACCCTGGCAGTCACAGCACTGAACAAAACACAAAAGTTTCTGCCCTCAGAGCGGACATTCTAATAAGAGACACAATAAGCAAATTAGTATATCATAGCCAGGGCTTGGTAAGTGCTGGGAAGAAATATAAAACAGGGTAAGAGGGATGGTGAGCGGCAGAGGAACCATTTTAGACCTTGATAAAGTGGTGACATTTGAGCCAACACTTAAGGAAGTGAGGGAGCAAGTTGTGTGGGTCTCTAGGCAGAAGGAACAGCCAGTGCAAAGGCCCTGGGGCAGGAGCATGCCTGGTGTGTTTGAGGGCCATCAAGGAGCCCAGTGGGAGGAGATGAGGGCAGAGAGGCGATGCCACAGATCATGCAGGGCCTTGTGGGCCAGTGAGGACTTTGACTTTTACTCGAAGCATGTCAGTATATTAAAGGCCTTGAGATGTATCCCTGTAAAGAAACCTAACTGTGTTTAACCCAGCATTTCCCTTATTTGGCCACAGATACCTGAGTTTAAAAAAAAAAAATCTTGCCTGCTAATAAAACACTTTTCCAGAAGCATAACAGGAGGATAATATTGAAACTTGCTGTATCCTAAATGCCTGATAGAGGAGAAAGCCCTTCCAGTCTGATGGACTGTATGCTAAGTTCCTACTAGGCATGATTTCTTTTTTTTTTTTAAGATTTTATTGGGGAATTGGGGGAGGGAACAGCACTGGGGAATCAGGGGAAGGGGAACAGACAAGTTGCTGTCCTTTCGTTCTTCATTCTAGTTGTGGAGGACGTTGCTTCACTGGCCCATGTTGGTATTATCATTGCGCTCTTTCCGGGTGAGGCAGATCAGTTGCCGGCTTCTGGACGGCCGCTCACGGAGGCTCTTGGCAATTCACACCAGCTGCCGGCCACTCACGCTGGCTGCTGGCCACACAGGGTAGCTTATGGCAGCCCACTGCACCAGGGGCTGCAGCCTACGCCGTCCCCGGTGACTCACGGCTGCTCAGCTCCAGGTTGAGCTGTTGTTCACCATCTTAGCTGTAGAGGGTGCAGTGTCACTGGCCCATGTGGGCTCCGAACTGGGGCCCTGCTGCTCAGAGCTGGTGTCCCAAGCCA